TGGGTGGGAGCAGGATGGTAAAACACTTGGCTGATGCTCCATGGGCCTGGGTATCCCTCTCCGGTCCATGGGCATGGTGGTCTCCATGGGTGGGGGTGCTGGTCCCCATCCTGGCCATCAAACTGTGCTTTGGGGTGTCAGGGCATAGCAGGGGGCTGGTTGGGAATGGGCTTGATGTGTGATGTGGAGTAGAAACGTGTCCGGTAGCTCATCCATAAAGACCTCCACTACTGTCTCATAGCTCATCATCTCTTCAACTCCACTCCTCTGTCAAATCCTCCTCCACTAGCAGCATCTGCAAGCTTCCCAGGGACTACTTTTACCCCAATTCTCCTATACTTTGACTTTTTCTGCTTCCTATCCATAGGAAGATGGTCCAGTGAAGCACTGTCTGCTCCCCCCTCACCATCGGAGGTACCAGGCAGGGTGTTGCTTGCTGGCACGCTGCTTCCCCCTGGGAGCTGTCTGCAAGGAAAAGTCAGTGCAACGGTAGCGTGCGAGATGGGGCTGATAGTTCTGCTGGCATCACTCGTTTAATTAGTAACAGCGGGGTGAAACCAGTGGGGATTGTCCTCGGGCTGCCACCAACCCCACTGCTTGACTTTCCCTGCCATCCCTTGGGCATCAAGGTGCACTCCTGGGGTCAAGGAGGCTTTAAAGTGTGCCGCTTTTTGCAGGAAAAGGTGGGTGAACGTTAGTGTTTTGGGGTGGTTGAAGTGTGTCTCCCGTTAGGTCTATTCCCTGAGAGCCAGCTTTATAAACCTGTAGAGTTTGCACTGTAATCTGATCTCTTCTTGCAAGTATATAATTTTCAAAACTTGTTCTTCAGCAGAGCGCTGCATTTCTGTAGCCCTTTGGCAAAAATAACAACACCTTTAAAAAAAAAAAAACACAAAAAACACCCAACAACTGAAAAAGTAAAACTCAGCCAGGCTGTAGAAGTGGTGGGTTTTTTTTTCCCCCTGAGTGAAGGTTGAGATTGCAACTTCAGTTGAACAAGGATCAATCTGATCTTAAGTCACTTGAGCCTGGCCTCTGGGACTGCAGCTAGAGGGGTTGCAACCTTAAACCAGGTTGGAGTTTACCCAGAGCCTTGTCTAAATAGCAGGTGCCGCTTGTAAGGGGAGTTTCAGGAGTGCTTTTTTTCCAGTTTATTCAGTGTATGGATGTGCTATTTTTCTTACGTGAGCAATTGGTTTACCTTGTTTGAATCTGTCAGATGGCAGCACAGAGGAGAATAATGTAGGAAAACATTGCAAAGCATTGAAGGGGGGGAAAACTGGCAGGGAAATTAGCAGCATCTGTCATAACACGATTACTTTTTTTAATTAAAAAAGACAAACCACCTGATTAGATTTCCTATTAATGATATTAGCTTTCTAGTTAAGAAAACCCAACTACTGATACATCCTCTTCTAATTGTTTTTTCCACCCAGGGTCTGTGGATGGGGCCACTGCATGTTTGCTCCCTTGCAGGGGATGCTGAATGCTGCTGTGATGGTGATCTTTATTTTTTTTGCCAGGGTTCATGTACTGGGGCTGAAGATTTAATACATCTGTTTCCTGCTGGCACTCTGCCCCAGCTCTCATGATGCCCTGTGCCTCCCACAGCTCCCCAGAGCAGTTTCACGCTTCTAAAATTCAAGCTTTGGATGCAGGTTTTGCTGTTTATAAACCCCAATGCCCCATTTTATGTATTTTTCCTCCTGTTTTATTTTTCCTTCCTCTTGCTGAGTGCATTAGCCAGCAGTGAGGGCACTTTGAGAAATTTAAAACCTTAATCCTCCACTCATTTGTTAAAAGGCTATGTGATGTAACCATATTCTCAATAAAAGGTTTTAGTGGTTTTAGCTGGTAATGTCTCCCACAGAAAAACAGCTTGCAGCCGGAGTGCTTCATGAGATTAGTTTCATGATAGGCACTTTTATAATATGTTCTTGCCCCCTAACATCTATTTATCTGTTGTGACCTACTGGTTGTCTTGTAGCAACAGCCCATATCGCTTTCTGAAATGCCCTTGGCTGGGAGGAGAAGGAAATTAACGCTAATCTCTTAAAAAGGAGAATTTTAAAGCCCGCTTTTGCATGTGGAGTGATTCTCTGGCTTTTGTTTTGCGCTCTATCCCATGGGCTAACAAGGCTAAACCAGGGTCACTTGGCCACTTGTCCTGTGCTGTCCTGACTCAAATTTGTGGGTAGCAAAGAGGAATAATAATAATCTCAGTTGACAGCTCCAGCCAGTGTGGTTCTGGAAATAAAACAGGTGCTGAGAGCTTGATGCTCCAGTTACCTTATTTCTACATCAAGTTTTCCAGCTGCTGGATCATCTGTGCACTTGGAAATATCCCTTTTTGGGGACAAAACCCTGTGTTAGGTAATATTGATTTTTATCCACTCTCAGAACAATAATTATTTTTTGTTTTGTGTGGGAGATGTAAGCATTTACTAGGTAAAACCTGCAGGGTTGAGGTTGTTAGGTAATACTGATTTTTATCCACTCTCAGAAAAATAATAACTATTTTTTGTTTTGTGTGGGAGATGTAAGCATTTACTAGGTAAAACCTGCAGGGTTGAGGTTGTACCTAGAGACCATGTGCTCAACACACAGGATTGGGGTCATGGATCAAGGGTACCTCCGTTAAGAACTCTGGTATCTTGTGTGTCAGTGCTTCCTGCAGCTGTAGAAAGTGTCATCTTTGGCTGTTCCCTGTTTCTGTGTACATATTTTGCTCTAGCTTTTACTACAGACCAAATGTTGATGTTCCAGAGTGTGCCTTGATGCACGCTGGGTGAATTACTGGAGAGCAGACACAGCTTGGGCTTGACCAGTGCTCATGGAGTTGCCCACCTCTGCCTGAATTATACTTGGTGACTGGTGCTTGACCCTCCCAAGCACTGACCTTTGACTCTTCATTCACCCTTGCTGCTGGGGTTTAAGGCTTGCTGGGTGCAAGCTGTATGATTTCCTTGGGCTTTAGCACCTCGTGCTCCTTTGTGTGCAGTTTTCTTTAATTGCATTTTGAGTGCAGACTGGTAGTGCTGGAAAGGTTAGTTGGCCACTAACTTGATGGTGTTGAATGCTATAGGAGCTCACCACCCAGGACCTGCCTAGACAGCTGAGGACCTTTAGTGTTAGCAACAAACCATCACTGGCATGGATTTGGCATTGCTCATGAATCCTGGTCCTACCTAAAGGAATTGCTCTCTGGATGAGAGCACAGTTTGCAGGTGGGAATGGTGGCTGAAGGTTGCTGTGGCTGTATCTGGAGCATGACCCTCATGGCTATCAGGTGTCAAACCAAGATATCTCAGGCCTCTGTTGTAGCCTTGCATGGATTTGCCTTTGGCTCCAAAAGGGGGTTTATTTTATTCCTACTGCCAGTTCTCTCTCTCTCTCGTTGTGTAGAGGGAGCACCTGGGGTGACTCTTGTAGGAACTGCTGGGGTAGGAGATGATGTGGAGGTGAGACATGGAGTCAGGCTCCTGCCATTTCACAGAATCGCAGAATGGTTTGGGTTGGAAGGGATCTTAAAGATCATCTAGTTCCAACCCCCCTGCCATGGGCAGGGACACCTTCCACTAGACCAGGTTGCTCCAAGCCTCACCCAGCCTGGCCTTGGACACTTCCAGGGATGGGGCATCCACAGCTTCTCTGGGCAACCTGTCCCAGTGCTTCACCACCCACTCTGTGAAGAACTTCTTCCTGATATCCAATCTAAACCCCCCCACTTTCAATTTAAACCCATTACCCCTTGTCCTGTCACTGCAGGCCCTTGTAAAAAGTCCCCCCCCAGCTTCCTTGTAGCCCCTTCAGGCACTGGAAGGCTGCAATGAGGTCTCCCCGGAGCTTTCTCTTCTCCAGGCTGAACAAGCCCAACTCTCTCAGCCTTCCATCATAGCAGAGGTGCTCCAGCCCTCTGATCATCTTTGTGGCCTCCTCTGGACTCTCTCCAACTGGTTGATATCCTTCTGATATTGAGGGTTCCACAGCTGGATGCATTTCATCTGATGGGTATATTTATGTGCTGAGTAACCAACCTCAGCATCTGGTTGGTGTGAAGAGGGAATAAGGCACCGCTGGAGAGGTCAAATAAGTGAAATCCCAACTGGCTGTCCATCAGAGAGTTGAACCTTGTCCTCTTACTTCTCCAGGGAAGGTTTGAATAATAATATTTTTTAATGCCTTTTGACTTCCCTTTAAAAAAAAAAGGTAATAAGGTGTTTATTTCCCAGGAGGGATAACTTACAAAACTTCCATCAAACCAGGTTATTCCCTCACTGGAAAAAAAGGGAATTGTGGGTAAAAATGCCCAACTTCTCTGAAGCAGCAGCTCATTTCTTCTGTATTGCATTGCCTGGCACCAAGGTCTCTGTATGTTTGTATATCCATATGGCAGGGATATAGGGCTGGCTGGTGCCATGCTCCCATTGCAGCTTTCTCCTTGAACTTCCCTGTCCTTGAGGATGTGAATGTTGTCCACTTGGTGGTAAAGCTGGCTTTAGAGCCTAGGTCAGCACCAGGTGACAACTTATCACTGCTGTATTATGGATATCTCCAGTCTGTGTGCAAATTAACCTTCTTTAGTTTCTCCTGCTAGTCTGTGGATGCTCTCCAGCATCTCTAATTGGCAGTAATCATGGTGATGACTGTTTTGTGGCTTAAGCTGGTCTTGGAGATGCCGTGGCTTGGTGAGCAGGTGGGCTATGGAGCACCTCCCACAGTTCAGGCAAGCTCTGCAGGCAGCTAGAACCTTTTACTGTAGTACTTACTGGAGCCATAACTAAACTCAGTTACACATGCTGACAGCTCACAGTTGTCCTTTGATCAGTTCATATGCTTAGGTTTTGCTTTCCCCAGTCACTTCCAGCAACACAGTTCCTGTTCTTCTAGCAGAAATTAGTTTCTTTTTGCATGGCTTTGCCCTTTGGACTTGCTGGCAAGTCCACCTTTCCTACAGGTGATTAGGCTTGTCTGTCATTAATGCTGAGGAAGCTGGGAGGCGGTGGCCTTGTTTTGCCACTGGGGTCACAAATAATGCTGTAGGTGTGCCTGTCACTCAAGAATTATCAAGGCTTCATCTCCTTGTGTGTACTGGAGATGTGAAGTGCAAAGTGCACTTGGTGATCATCTCTAAGCAAACATTCCCTAAGGACTTGATTATAGAAGGAAACCTAACCACGTAATTGCCCTATTTAACACCCCAGATAGGTTCTCTTGAACTAGAAGAGGTGTTAAGGAGTTAAGAACACCATTACTCATTGGATGTGTTCCCTACAAAGACAGGCTTTGAGCTGGCAGGAGCCTTGACATCCTTCAAAGGGGATCTGTTTGTCTTGGCCTCCTCTGGAAGGGGTCTCCTGGCCTCTTCCCTTAACTTCTTCGCATGGAGGCATTGGCTGAGCACATTCTGTAACACTCTCTTCCTATGCCAAGGGTTGAACACAACGTTATTTGGCAGATACCTTCTGAGCATAAAATGGCCTTGCTACAAGAATACTGGCTCTAATCCTGCTTTGTCAGAGGCAATAAACTTCAGAGCTGCACACAACTCGTATAACTTAATGACACGCACCTCATTCATTTTCATGGCTTTCTTAACGTATGCTGTCCTCTGTACATACAAGCTGTGCCGTTCCCTGGCTGCTACATGATTGAAGGCCCCTCTCTGGAAGAGTAATGTGCTTACTTCTCCATTGTAAAAGCTTTAAACTAAGAAGGCTAAGAAGTCTCGCATTCAACTTGGCCACTTCTTAAGCACCCAACTTCATTCTTCTGTTGATGTCCCTAGGTGCACCCCAAAGCCAAAGAGCATGGTTGAAATAAAACATCTTTCTTCTGACCTTAAAGGGTTGACCTCAAGAGCTTGTACAAAGAAGAATTAAGCAAAGAAAATCCCTTTTATAACCTAACAGCAGGGTTTGGTGTATGGGGTTTTTTTTTCCCTATGCCCCCACTTATGTAAGGCATCCTTAAATCTGTCACCGCTTACTTCAGACACTGCTGTAGTTTTCTGTAGTTTTTAGCTTTTGGTTGCAACTTGGAGAGTATGAGCAGTGGAAAAGCATTGGGTTCCTTTGAATGCAAGCTGTTGGAGGATGGGTGTGCTCTCTTTTTGACATTCTATCTCCCCTATCCACCTTTTGTTTTAAATATGGCCTTTTTTTTTTTTGATCTTGTGATGGTGTCTCCTCTCATTTGTGTTAACCTGGGCTAAGCATCTTACTCTGGAGCTAAATTTCCTTCTTGCTTAATTATTTGTAAAATAACATCATTTCTGCAGTGCTCCAGAAGCAGCTGCAGACTAGGCTTGGTTGTTCCCCATGATGACCTTGGCATAATGCTTATATTGGTCCGTGCCAGCTAGGGATGATGCTTTGGGACTGATGGCAGAACCTCTCAAGGCGAGATGTGCTGCAATCCCATCGGTTATTGCAGCTACCCAACCTCATAAAGGGTGAGGAGGAAAGCAAAGTGTGGCGAGATCACATGAAATCCCTGAAGGCAGCAGGTCTTGAGATATTGACTTGACATCCTCGCAAGGCTTTGGTATTATGTCAGGTGTTCCAGTACCTGACTTTCTGGTACCTTTTTGCTCTTGGCTTTGGAGCCTGGAGGGAATTGATAACTGTCTCATTAAATCTCATTGAGAAGACACCCAGTCTTCTGATGTCTACAGCTGGCTTAGTGTCTCATGGAGGGAGAAGTCTAGGCAAATCCAAGTGCCCTGATGTCCTGGATGTTGTCCCCAGCTGCATCGGGGCTTGCAGGTGTTCAAGGAGGGCAGCTCCTATGTGCTTTTGTGGAAAGGTGAAGTGGTTAACAATTACCAGTGCTGCTCTGTGTGCTTGAGAGGGTGGTTATTCACCGGCTTTGACACTGTGGTGACTTGAATTTTGTGGTTAACAGTTACCAGTGCTGCTCTGTTTGTGTGCTTGAGAGGGTGGTTATTCACCGGCTTTGACACTGTGGTGACTTGAATTTTGCCTCTTGGTGGTGTCTTAAGCTGGATATGGGAGGAGTGGGGAGCTGCCAAGTCAATTAGCTAGCCCTCCCTTAATTGCTTTTGCAGGGGAGAGGTTCTAACACTGTTTTTGAAGACTTTGTAGAGCCATCCTGGTGTCTTCTCATACCACTCCCTATCTCACTATTTTTAAATAGTTTCTTCTTGTCTTGCCTTCAGACAAGGAGGTGTTCATGGACTTTCTCTGTGGTTTTGCATAGTCATTCCACTTGTACCTCTTCCATCATCTCTCACCTGCAGTTCCTCTGGCACATGTATTCAGGTAGTGTTTGTTCTTCCCTCTGAAAAAAAGTCTTCAAAATTCTCTGATTGCTTTCGAGGAAACCTTTGCAAGAAGTGGAGAGGTCTCAAAGGTGATGAAAGCTCCTATAGGATAGAGCTGGAGGCAAAGAAGAGGTTCTTTTAACCTCCAACAGTTGCTACCATGGTGATTGAGTTTTGAATGGATTTTTATGGCTCTGGAAGTGGAAAGGGGGCCTGGGTCCTGTTGACTTGCATGTATTTGGATATATTTGTATACGCATTTGGCTTGCATTGTCTCTGAAGCTGACAAGCACACAGGTCTCATCTGTGAACCTGAGGGGCTGTTGAAATTTTAATGAGCCACCTTCTCTTTACAACTTCTTAGCCCCTTAAGCTTTAATTTACATATTTAGGTTAATGTCTCTCACTGTATGAAGAAACCTCACTGAAGGCATCAGCTTTTACTTAAAAGAAATACTTGTGCAATATCTTGGGTCACATCTGCATGAGCAGCTACTCTTTCTGGACAAGAGTTTGGTTCTGTCTCCTTTGCTTTGAGAGCCTCTGGGTGTTCAGGTTTGAGTAGTGCCTTCATGGTTGGGTTGGGTTTTTTCCAAGGGCCATGTTCAGCAATGACCCAGCTCCTTGCTGGAGAAAACAAATCCCATGGACTAGGGTTACTCATCCTTTTCTTTTTTTTCTTCCGTTTTCTGGATTTTTTTTTTTTTCCCCTGGAGAGCCAATGGTGTGTGCAAGACAAGTGAGTTCTGCTGGGCAAATAGAAGTGGCACTTCTTGATCAGCCTTTCCTGTATTTGCTTCTGACCCAAGATTTGTGCAGCTGTTGATGTTTTCCTTAATGCCCCATTTAACTGTTTTTTTCCAGAATAATCAGTCTCATGTTTGTTCCTTGAGTAATTTCAACAGGCCCCATTTAACTGTTTTTTTGCAGAATAATCAGTCTGTTTGTTCCTTGAGTAATTTCAACAAATTCATGGATTACTGTAAAGTACTAAGCCTACAGATTTATGGACCAGATGGAGTGACTCTGAGTCTGTGGTCTCCAATCTACCAATTAGGAGCTCAAATCTTTCACTTAAATGAAAATACCAATGTTAATCCCAGGCCCTTTTCAAAGGGGGCACTGCTAGGTGGACTTCAAATACAAGAAATTGATTTTCGGAAAGCTGAAATCCATGTCAATGCAAAATTTTTCCATTCCCTACTTACCAATCAAAGATAGTTTCATACATTTTGAGCAAGGAATTTTTTTTTCCTTTCCTACTTCCCAAGAAAAATCAAATTTGTTAGATGTAGGTTTTTCCAGTAACACTGGGACCCACAGTGTTTTCTGGAGAGGTAACCAGGTTTTATCATGACTTGTTGGATTTGACATTGTTGTGACCCATCCTGGAGGATGAGGTGAGACCTGGTGGAGCCCACAGAGATTTCTACATGGAAGAAATTAGCTGAGAAGATGTTTTGGATGGGATGAGCTGTTGGAGATCTGTAGAGTCTCTTGGGTGGCAAAGCCCCTTCTGGATGCAGAGGCAAGGGGTGTCCACCAGCAGCAGTGGAGGGAAGGCAGTGGGGAGCAGGTTAAGACTGATATTCATAGCAAGTGGAGGCTTTCTAAGAGAAGAAAGAGGGTGAAATAGTGGCTTTGAGGTATTTTTTTCAGTGCTACACTGGATCTTAATACGTTCTTGAAGGTTTCTGCCCATGCTTGGCACTGATATATGAAAAGCAGACTCAGAGGTGTCCATCCTCATAAACTGCTCAGCCTTGTGCCCTCCCAGTTGTGTTTTTGTTTTGGTGGGTTTTATCCAGGGGTCTTTTAAAGACTCATTTCATCCATCTAAACCTCTCCTTGCACAATGGAAATCGTCTCTGCTTGGGCAGAGCTTTTGTGGTCCTGGATTCAGAGACCTTCCTCATGGCAACCTCTATGCCTGGGGCATCCCATAATAACCTCTTGCCTCCACGAGACAGGGGGATATTGCTGTCTGTTGTTTCCTGAAGTCGGAGATGAAATGTTTTGGTTTTTTTTCCCCTGCCTGTAGAAAGTCCAAAACAGAGGCAGGGATGGAATTAATTTACTGCTTTGTCCGACTCATTTCTCCACCCCCGTGAACTCTTGACTTGCTGCCTGCTCTCCATCCCCTGTAGCCGGCAGGAGACGGGAGCACTTAGACGTAGCATCACATCTGTTTGTGAGCTCGAGGGTTATATTGAGCTCACCTGAATCCCCTAGGCCCTGTCTCGCGTCCGGATGGCGAGATCCTGGAAGGGAGATGATGAGTTCCTGTTGACGGTTGTGTTTGGGAAGCCTTTTCTGAATAGCTTAGAAAATAAATTGCTGTAAGAAACATGTGGTATTCATTACATAAAACTTCTTTTTTTTTTTTTACCCCAAGTGTGATGCCAGTCTCCAAAAGTGCCATTTTAATCCCAAAATGTTGATGTGTTTCTTTTTGGTGAGAACCTGTCTCTCTCCCTCAGCAGGGCTGTGACCCCTTCGCCCAGACTCAGCGCAGCAAACTGCAGCATCGCCGGGCACGGATTAACCAGCAGATCAACAAGGAGATGAGGATGCGAGCGGGGGCGGAAAACCTCTTCAGGTGAGTTCTGGTACCCAGAGCATCCCTCTGGCCCAGGGCTTTGGCTGGGGGTGGAAATAGGGTCGTGATATACAGGAGGAAAATGATGCAGCACTCCCATGACTATGGTTGAGGTTTGCTTGTCTTCCCTTGACATTGCAGCATTCATCCTAGAAATGCCTGCCCTCCATCCGGTGCAATGCCCATGCTATGCATTTTAATGAAAAATTGTAATTTTAATGTCCTGGAGGACTGGCACGAAGCAGGGTGTGAGCAGATGGAATAATGGGAATGAGTATTTAACTGGGATTGATCTTGGACTGCAGACCTTCTGCCTGATGACCCCAGCAAGTGGGTTAAATCCAGCTTTAGTTCTAAAAATTCCCATCCCCACCAGTGCAGAAACTGAAAATTAAGGTATGGTTTTGCAGATGGGCACAGCCTGGTGGCTTTTCACCCTGCTGAAGATGCAATCATGGGATGGTGCAAAAGTTAGTACCTTTGCATGGCTTTCAGATTGCAGCTGGTCCAACACAAGTAGAGGCAGTGCATTGCATCATGATTGCATCATGACAACTCTGCAGGGGAAAGCTGTAATCCCATGATTTTTTGCAGCTATTTTTATCCTTTTTTAGCCCAAGGATGACCTTTTTCTTTGTAGCTCTTGTGTGTATGTTATGTTCCTGTAGGATACATGGGCTTACAAGGAATCTGGGGGCAACTTTTTATAAGGACAGGGAGTAACAGGACAAGGGGTAACAGGTTTAAATTGAAAGTGGGGAGGTTTAGATTAGATATCAGGAAGAAGCTCTTCATGGAGAGGGTGGTGAGGCACTGGAACAGGTTGCCCAGAGAAGCTGTGGATGCCCCATCCCTGGAAGTGTCCAAGGCCAGGCTGGATGAGGTTTTGAGCAACCTGGTCTAGTGGAAGGTGTCCCTGCCCATGGCAGGGGGGTTGGAACTAGATGATCTTTAAGGTCCCTTCCAACCCAAACCATTCTATGATACTGGAGCACATGTGCAGGGTGAGCAGATCTGTTAAGATAAGAAAATATCATAAGGCTGCCCTGAAATAGGGTTTTTTTGACATATTTTGCCAGTTTTAATTTTTTTTCCCCCCCAATCAAATAAGATTGTCTTTTCACTTTTGAACATAAGTGATTTAACATCAGTGGTGTGTGCCTATTGCACCTGGAAGAAGGGAGTAATAGTTGCTCCTCCAAACTATAGGAAGAAATGGTATTTTACTGGTAGATGAGGACAGTGGAGCTTCTGAGGGGAGGTGAGGTTACAGCCCCTGTAACCTGCTGCTTCAACCACACTGCCATGCCTCATTTAATTAAAAACAGGTCACAAAATCCCATGTGCTGGTGCACATGACTCCCCTTGATTATGAAGAAAAAAAAATATAGGGCAAAATGTG